AAACAATAAATAACTGTTATTGTTAATCCTAGAGATAATCACCAAATATGTATTATCCTCGAGTAATCTGCGATACCCTTTCACTCACATACTTTTAATGAACAGAGCTGAGGAGTGAGGAAGCCGGCCATTCATCCACGCACTCCGAGGGTTTCTACATCAGAGAAGAATCCCAGTTTAGAACTACTTCTCAAGAACGTCGGGAACAGCTAATTAGCCTGTTAAATACCAAACTTAGGGAACTTCCATAGCTGTGTGGGGAACAACTAATGATGAACTTAACCCGCGCGGGCTGGGGGGGGGGGAAATTTTTACCCCCCCTCGCGAATTTTTGCGATATCTCAAAAACGGCGGCGCGCAGCGCCGCCAAACTTTCAGCACCTTTCTTACATCAATTTAACACGTTCCCTGAAAATTTGAGCGAAATCCGTCGGAAAAGTTTTGAGAAATTGACGTTTTAGTGACGTCATGTTCGCCATTTTCGCCTCAAAACGGCAAAAGTTCAAACGCCGCTAACATCTTCATTTTTAAAGGAATCAAGACGTAACAAAAAAGGTTATACGTAATTTACTTTGTCTATCAAATGGCTATCTCGGTTTTTTGAAAATTTTGGATTTTGGCCTAATTTTTTTTCAAAAAAACTGACTTTTTTGGGAAAATCATTATAAAATCCAAAATTTTGAGTCTATCGAAAAAACCGGAATATATGTCAGAGAAGTGGTCTATGTGCACCTACATACCAAATTTTAGAAGAATCGGTTCAAAAATGTGGGAGTTATTCAAAATTTTATGACGTCACGACACACAAAATTTTTGAAAAATGACTTTTTTGGAAGTTCTAGACCTCGTACGGAAACAAAAATAGCACCATTCGATTTGCCGTGAAAAACTGCATCAGATAGACACCTTTTTAGGCCTTAACAACCAATTTCAAAATTTGACCTCACTTAACCTGACCTTGACCTGACCTCGACCTGAAATTCATCCAGAGGTGGTCCATATCACTTATTGAGTGTGCCTATTGAATTCTATGAGTAAAATGACCCATAAAACATGTGTCGCACATGCCCTTTTCTATATTTTGTTTTTTTGGTGACCTGACCTGACCTGACCTGACCTTGACCTTGACCTCTGAATGATATTGTATGCAACGAATATTGTCTTGGTAGCCTAAGTACACGTTTTGGGCGATCAGTCTCAGTCCTTGACTCCATTCTTCGGCAACTACGGTGCAAGGCCGATACTGTAGAAACTTGCAATTTGTACCCTTGACCTGACCTTGACCTTGACCTCAAACTTAAAATTAAGTACATGTTTTTAGTAGTTCGTGATGAGAGCTTTCGATTGGCGTTTGAATTTTCCAAATCGGACCATTAGTTCGGGAGATAACAGGGGGGTAAAATTTACCCCCCCCCCCCCCCAGCCCCGCGCGTTCGGCTGGAGACCCCAGCCCCGCGCGGGTTAATCACCGCCGGTCTATGTAACATCCGGCATGTGGTCATTTTGGTCTGAGGTGTGTGACTTGTCTCTCTTTGGTGCAGAGCATGCGTGCAGTTCAGTCTAAAATTGCATGAACCGGTTTCCTGATACTCTCGCAGACAGCTCCCCCCCCCCCCTTCCCCGAGCCCCTCACATGTATAGAGAGATATCCTGTATTGGAGATATCTGGGATAGCCTACTGAATAGTTCAATAGGTGTCACGACGGGCCGATTTCTTGCTAGAGTGTCACCGACAGAAACGTCTGTTTGTAACTATTCCAGGTTTCGTTTGTCTTGCTTTTCTAGCTAGGGAGGGCCCTTGCGGTCTATTGAGACCATTCAGGGCCTTGAGGTGAGGGAATAGTGGGAGGTATTGGGCTGATTTGTTTACCAAGCGATACATTGTAGCGGCTTAACCCATCCCGTTTGGACTGATTTGCCAGAGGGAATAGGCCACCCACTCAAACGGCCAGGCTCTGGAACGATATGCTTCCTTTCGGATATGCTCCTTATGATTATTTGGTGTGACGCAGAGCACCAACCTTGTAGCTAGATCTCGCTCGAATCGAACATTACCTCCTAGCTCAGTGCTGGGGGTTAAGATCACGTGTAACCCGGGGACCGTAATCTGGCCTCACTGATGACCTGGATTTGGTGGCCGTCAGTCCAGAACATAATTGAAATCGAGGATGGAAAAGAGCAGATCCTGTCGTGTGTAGCCAATACGGTGGTTTGATATAAAGTAACCGTTACCATATCGTCAAATGCCAGCACTTCTGGAGATGCTGGCAAGACGCTGGACATCGTGAATTATTTACGACGACAGTACGGTTCCCTGTGACTCACCAGATCCGCTTTCGTAAGACAGCCGCAGTAGTGGTCCGATCACCTACGATCGTTTCGCCAGCTCTCTTGCCGTTGCGTAAGGAAGCGACCTTTCTTCTTCGACCGTCTGCTTGCCGTGGCGAGTGGTGGTGACCATCTGATCCGCCCGAGCCAATCAGGCAGCTAATGGATTAACTTCCGTCGTCGCCACCCCCCCCAACCCCCTTCCACCCCCGCTCCCCGCTCCTGTCCCCTCCCGAGCTCTTTCCTGTGCCCCTCTTACTCTGTCCTCAGCCGTGTCTCCTACAATATTTTTTATGTCCATCCACAGTAAGACCATAGTGCTAAGAATTCCTCTCCTGTTTCCCTTTTTAGACGCCGCCTTCTTTTCCGTTCCAATCCTGATGTTAGCTTTGCCAATAGCGACTTCATGGAACAAATGGCGGGTCGTGTGCTTGTTGACAATGACTGTATGCTGCAATTGTTTCAAGAGAAGCCATCTAGCCTCCTGGCCAGACGACGATAACAGAAAATTGCATTGGTCCCTCTGTGCTCAAAACTGCTGCTACGTGTTTGTTAAAAAGACCATGACTAGGATTGACCCGGCTCAGCATATTTCCCAATACACTCGAATGCTTGGCCATAAAATACTCTAGCATGCAAATTACTCAAAACGGACAGCATTTCGGCAGTGATATGCAAAAACTGGACAGCCAATCGGGCCTCTAGATTAGTCATGAATCAGCGCTGCCAGTTTCAGACAGCTGGAAATCCACAAACGAGAATTCTCCCAATGGCAGTGCCGATAGGGCGTCTCTCACGAGATACGTTTCGGAAATTTATCGGCTAGTCTCGCGGCCAGTGCCGTGGTTGAGTGGACGGCGCCGGCGGTGGCGCGGAGGACGTATGAAGCGATGGGTTTTAGACGGGTCAGTGAGGATGGGCTGAGGAGGGTGAAGGTGGTTTCTATAACTGACTGAGACGGAAAAGCTATGGTCGGATGGGCCAGATGATGTGGTGGATGTCAGCTGGTTGAGAAATCTGATCTCTAGACTCTAGGAGGATAAAACAAAGAAATATTTTCTTTAATGACAGAAATATGATTGCTGAATGGTGATCTCAGCTAAGTGGCAATGTTTGTAATATTGGGCCGAAAATATAATTAATTCATTAAACTCATTGATCCGACCATATGCCTGACACTTCAAGTGGTACTGTAAGTTGTGACAACTTCCTTCCAATTTTTTGATCGGTACCCGCGCTATGCCTATTTTTCCTCTCCAACATTGAACCCGCGCCCCGCATGCCGCCCGACATTCCAGCACTGTTTTATTCAGAGGTCAACACAACATGCATATGTAGGTACGAGTACGTTTGAATCTCCTGGGAAATACATTAGCGCCTTCCGGGCGGTTGTCGCTAACAGCCTAATTTACTGTTTTCATCCTTTACCAGTCCAGAATATCAAGTCGACAAAACTGTTCGTAATTCCGTCTTTACCAACCGATCAGACTCAAACTATTCTCCCAGTGTGCCACAAATTTGTTCAGCTCCACTAAACGGAAGGCTAAACCAATGCATGTCACGCAGCTGGGGTTTCCGTTTGTCTGTGTTTTTTGCTCGTGCCCTCGGGCTATTGTATGGCCCTGCTCGAGTCTCTCCATCTTCTCTCAGACACGCTGCCAGAGGCAGCTAGCTCTCTATTGACCACTTGGGGTACCTCGCGGGGACGAGAGGGGAGGGGCGGGCGCGCTGCGGGCTCGGGCGGGTCAGGCGATTGCATGTCCCGCTGCCGGCGGCCGCGGCGGAACGAGCACCGCCTGATACTAGTTGATCCATCGGACGCCGCCGCAGGCCCTCAGATGCGGTAATGTTCCGCACTCTGAGCCCGCGACACATAATTGACTCGCCAGTGATGGAAAGCACCGTCATGAATGCATACCCGATGCGGCAGGGCGGCCGAAACACTTGCGTTTTTGTGGGTGCTTCCGGCCTCGTCGATGCCCCAGTTTGTGTGCGTGGGTGCGTTCTCATCAAAAGCGCCGATGCGGGTGGATGAATATCCGCTCTTCTCGCGGATGTTTTGACAATATCTAAGTTTTTGGTGGGTCACATCAGAACTAGCGAAAACACTTTGAAAACGTTGGCTCGTGAACGATTGGCGGCATTCGCCAGCGTTTTAGCTTATTCGATGCAGTGGAAGATTGATATTTGAACAGAAGGCTTCTAATATTAAATCGACCACTATTTTGTTGTATATTTGCATGAACTGGTCAGAGGCATTCGCAATTTTTTACGTGACTTGTTTTTTATTGCATCTTGCCGATGGTATTCGAAGTACTCCTAGCCACAATGTAATGTGTTTCATTTTTTCTTTTTTTGTCCTGCAGATGGCGTCCACAACAATGTCGCCGGGCAGTGAAGAGCTGCTGGACTGTGGCAACATGACCGACGTCAACAACACCTACGGCAACACGACCAACTCGACGTGCGGCGGCGACTTCAACCAGTTCATCATGCCCTGGTGGCGGCAGGTACGACTGGTGCACGTGATTGGCGGAGATATGATAATGGGAAGTGCCTTTCTGGGTGTTCTTTACTTTTTATGCCTCGTGCTTGATTATGCAAGCTGTGAAAAATATAACAAGCTTATGTACTTATAAAAAATTGAAGGGTAAATTGAAGTAAGAGTGCAACAATCATAACACATCATTTATTTCTCTTTAACTCGTGAATAAACTAACAATAGAACTTACACGATGGATGATTAAATGCTTATACACATGCTATGCTGAGAAGACATATCATTTGCGTTATATCAAGCTTTGGCTGAATGCTGATTTTTTTTTTGCGGCTGGAAACCATGCGAGCCGAGAGCTACCGATCACTGTGTTTTGCGATGATCGCCCATTTGGATGATTGTAGAAATAATGCTGCATATATGCTCGCCATTATATCTATTAACCCGCGCCCCGCTGGGGGGGGGGGGGGGCAGAATCTGCCCCCCTCCCGTTTTTCGCCAATAACTTCTAAAAGCGTTACGCCAGCGACGTCAAACTTTCGGTACCTTATCACACATCAATTTGACACGTTCCCTGAAAATTTAAGCGAAATCCGTCGGAAATTTTTTGAGAAATTGACGTTTTAGTGACGTCATGTTCGCCATTTTCGCCTAAAAAACGGCAAAATTTCAAACGCCGCTAACATCTTCATTTTTAAAGGAATCAAGACGTAACAAAAAGGGTATACGTGATTCTACTTGGTCTATCAAATGGCTATCTCGGTTTTTTGAAAATTTTGGATTTTGGCTCAAATTTTTTCAAAAAACTGACTTTTTGGGAAAATAATTATAAAATCCAAAATTTTGAGTGTATCGAAAAAACCGGAATTTATGTCAGAGAAGTGGTCTATATGCACCCACATACCAATTTTTAGAAGAATCGGTTCGAAAATGTGGGAGTTATTCAAAGTTTTATGACGTCACGACACACAAAAATTTTGAAAAATGATTTTTTAAGAAGTTCTAGACCTCGTACGGAAACAAAAATAGCACCATTCGATTCGCCATGAAAAACTTCATCAGATAGACACCTTTTTAGGCCTTAACAACCAACTTCAAAATTTGACCTCACTTGACCTGACCTTGACCTGACCTCGACCTGAAATTCATCCAGAGGTGGTCCATATCACTTATTGAGTGTGCCTATTGAATTCTATGAGTAAAATGACCCATAAAACATGTGTCGCACATGCCCTTTTCTATATTTTGTTTTTGGTGACCTGACCTGACCTGACCTGACCTTGACCTTGACCTTTGAATGACATTGTATGCAACGAATATTGTCTGGGTAGTCTAAGAACACGTTTTGGGCAATCAACCTCATTCCATGACTTCCATGACCTCATTCCATGAAGCAAAAAAATTTGGGCTCTTAAGATCCGCCTTGTAGAGAGCTTTCGATTGCCGTTTTCCCCGTCTTTCTACGACCATCGGTTCGGAAGTTAGACAGGGGGGCAGAATCTGCCCCCCCCCCCAGCAGGGCGTGTATGGCTGAATAGCCCAGCGGGGCGCGGGTTAAGATTATATGGGCCGTTCTATTTCCGTCAATAGTTTCGCTCCGATTACGAGCGGGATATCTAGGGGTTTCCTTTGGTGGCTTCTCGGGAAATCCCAACTTTTCGCTTGGGAACTGAGACAGATTGTGTAGGATATCTTAATCGTTTCTAAAACGATTTCCTAGCGCCTCTCAACTGATCGGCTGGGATAACTCACGCGATCCCCAAGCATACAATGACACCTAGGCACATGGTGAAAAACATGATCCCGTACGGGATATCTGAAAAAAATCAAGCGGTCTCTTGGAACATCCCGCGCCGTCTCCAGGCCCTGTATGACGCCGCAACACAGCGGAAAAGATGATTCAACAAATGGACGAATCATCGATGTTTCCGACTTTTCATGTTTTGTGTTTACGCCCCGTTTCAAATATTTAGCAAACGGATTAACACTTTTAAAAATGTGCTGATTGATTCCCACATTGTAGTATACGGAAATAATAATAGCTTTGAACTTTCTAGTGCGCATCAGTAGATAAGCTACAAGAATAAAGCTACAAACCTACATCTGATAGCTATGTATTCCGTTGTCATGCCAGGTCAAATTGCTTATAAACACACATGACATTGCATGCATTCATCTGCATAACTGTGTATCATTGATTTGTTTCTCCCGCGAGCACGGATAACTGTGATCAGTTATTTGTGTCTCCCGTGAACATATGTAACCGCGAGTCAATGATTTGTTTCTCCCGTTATATATAACCGCGAGTCATTGATTCGTTTCTTCTATTTTGTGTGTAAACGCGGGTCAGCGATTTCCTTCTCCTGTTCTATGTATGTAACTGAGTCATTGATTTGTCTCTCCTGTTCTATGTATGTAACTATGATTCATTGATTTGTCTCTTCGCCATCTCAGGTGGTCTGGACACTAATCTACATCGCCCTGGTGATCGTGGCCACCGGGGGAAACCTTATCGTCATCTGGATTGTACTGGCACATAAACAGGTGAGGGATCATGTCGGCGGAAATGGGATTGTGCTGAACCCCACACAAATGATAATTACTGAGAGGGCATTTAGTATTAGAGGTTAGGCCACGCGCAGTGATGAGCAGAGATTGGCTGATTGAGCTATATGCATCACATATATGACATTAGCAATTCTTGAAGTACATTTTTTACATAAAAAGAAATCAAACGAATTTCCCATATGAGATGAATACAAATCTGATTAAGAAATAATTTCCATGGCTACAGTAAGTACGAAAATAAAAGACATTTACAATGCCTGGTGGTTGGGTTATTCCCATTACGTTAACCCTTATTTTCAACAAGAGGATTGTGTTGTCTGACCTGTGAGACATTTAAAAATTTGTGTAATCCATGCTGATATTTATTTTCTTGATTAAAAGTAATGCAATTACGATTGTTTCAGCACAATCAAGAGCCATTGCTATTGCATTTGCTGCGTTACACACATTTGCATTCTAGCTAAGCGCTTCATCATTCGCAAGCTAATTTAAAACCGTTTGTTACGGAGCGAGCGAAGCGAGCGTAGTCTTTCCTTAGATTAACGGAAATTTCTGAGTATGAGCGGCCGGCCGGCCTGCCGGCCGGCCGGCCGGCCGTGGTCACGCTTTTGCGAGGCTTATATCTCAGCAACCACTTGACCGATTTACACGCGGCAATTTTTGTAGGGTAGCTTCATTCCTTCTACCAAGTATTGGACTATTCCCGATGCAAGTGGGTGACCCCTTATGCACGTGCCACGCGCAAAACGAAGAGGTGTCCGTTTTGTAATTGTTGCAATATCTCGGTAACTACTTGGCCGATTGCGCTGAAAGTTGGCATGTAGGTAGGCACCCACTAGGCACTGCATATCCATGTGCCAGAGTTGGGGCGCTGCTGCACGTGCGCACGTGCAGGGGTCGTTTCAAGATCTCGAGAACGGCTCCACCGATTGCGCTCAAATTTGGTACACAGTTAGGGACCAGTTAGTAGGGTGCCGTGCGCAAGTCAGTTGGGACCCATTTTGCACGTGCGCACGTGCAGGGTGCCGCTTCCAGATCTCGAGAACGGCTGGGCCGATTGTGCCCAAATTTGGCACATTGCTAGAGACCGGTTAGTAGGGTGCCGTGCACAAGTCAGTTGGAGGTACCCCCTCGCAATTTCGCACGTGCAAGGCCCACCCTCTCGCTCGCTCTGTTAGTCGCCCCAAAAGGCGTTATACTGGTGTTATATAGGCGTCACAATTATCACATACAGTATCATTGGTATGAATTGAATTGTTCGAATGCCGAAACAGTACTCAACGCTCGTATGCCTGGCCGTTTTTTTTTACCCACATGGAATATCATAGGTTTTTTTCTTATCCCGAAGAAGAACGAAAACATACAACGCAAATATGTCATTGTTGGTTATGTAAGCAGCTCATCTTACATCTTCATCATCGATAGTGTATGCTTTTGCCAGTATTGCTGTCGTCTTTAGAGCTCTTATAGTGTCATTACGTTACAGCATATGCCACTCACTTCTCCACATATATTTTCTGTCTATACGTTTATGCACAAACATAATACAGGAGTCTGTAGCTGCCGATACCTATATATCTAGCTCGTCTCACGCAATAAGGCGTTAGGCATGGAATGACATTTTTGTTACACATTGATGGAGATACGTATTTCAAAGGTCATGCTTTCTTTATTCTAAGCAAACAGCTAAAAAGACTCGTGTAAATGTCTGATTTTACACATCAGTTGGCTCACTATTCCTTAACCAGTGATCTCGAGGCATGTTGTAAAATTTACCGTTTGGGCAAAAATAATCAAAATTGATTGGTATTTGTTGATCATCGTTATTAATTTTCTGTTTGGCTCAAATAACTTTTGAAAATTGAGCGATGCATCTGTTGGATTGGATGGACCGTGTGCGGCTTAACATTACTATTTAAATTTTTTCCGTTACTCGGAATAGCAAAATTGGATGGTGAAGGTCGGCGCCTACGCATCAAACTCTGCTTAGCGTGGGCTCCGAATTTTCAACATGTCTGTGCGCAGCGATTGCTACACAGGAGCAACAGTCAGCAGCCAGCATCAACAAAACAACATGTTCACTGCTCAGTGCTGATATCAGTGCAACCCTTTAGATTTATGTAGCATCTCAAACGCATAAAGCTGAGCCACGACTGACTAAGGGCATAGGGTTTGGCGTGCCACGGGCCACCCTTCAAATGTTTCATGTTTTATCGTTATATGTTTCTGTCATGAGTCTTATCTGCATATGAATTCGCCAAAAGTAGATATGTACGCATTTGACAGACTTCCGAAAGAAATTCAACGTCTGTATTGAAACATGGAACCTAACTGACCTAAACCTAACTGAAACCTAGCTGAAATCGACAGGAACCTGACTAGCGCAAGACTTCTTCAACGAACGAATAATTCACCTGGTAAGACATAGCTGTCGGTTTTCATGACCTAGGAACATCCAACTCATGTGAGGATCTGATCGATCCACACTGGACCAAGGCAGACATACCCTGTGGCGCTAAGAGTTAACAGCGGAGTTAGGAGTTAACGTGGCGTTCAGTGGTACTTAACCCTCGCCCGCACATGGGGGGGGGGGTGGTTGCCACCCCCCCCCAGGTAGTCTTTTTGCTCTGCACTCAACATTTTTAGAGCTAGAAGGCTGATTTTTCGTATAGCTGCTCCTCTATTCTTTCTTGATGTCCACTGAAAATTTCAAGTTTCTGTGATATTTGGTTTCGGAGATATGACCTTGTTTTTCAGGTCATGTCATGACCCAAATGGCCAATTCTCAACATCTTGCGTTTGCCATGGGCCTTATGAGCTTTTGACACCCTGATTTCGGCCTTTTTTGCCAGTCTTACCTCCTACCTATCATGGAACATGTTGTTTGACGATGTACAGGGGTCAAGGTCAGGGTCAAGGTCAACCTAGGTCACCTAAGATAATTGCGTTTTAGGCAAGCTAAATTTACTTTTTTTGAAGTTTTTTGACTGCATTTTTGGTAAAAGCTTCTCAGATCATGATTTCATGTAATATGGACCCAAAAACAATCGGTGCACACATCAGTATACACACAGACACACACAGACATACAAACACATATCATTGACCTTGACCTAACTTGACCTGAAATGACCTCAGCAGCAAAATTCTGGTCGGGTAGTGTGACTTAGAGGTTCTAGATGGCTTGGCACCAGAAAACAGCATCGTCATCGGTATTTGATAAGCAGCACACTTGATATCCAACGGTGACCCAAAACAGCAACATTTTTTAGTTTGACCTGACCTGGAAGGTCAATGACTGACCTGAGAAGGTAAAACTGGGTATCATTGGATTCGTCTCTTCCCAAAGAATCTTTTTGGTCTTTACTGCTAAGCTCTATCTCCAACAGGAACGAAATGGCGCGGGGGGGGTGGCAACCACCCCCCCCCCCCCCCATGTGCGTTCTAGGATGGGAAAATGGCATGTGCGGGCGAGGGTTAATGTCGTTAGTCAGGAACTTCCTGGGAGGGCGGTGTAAATATCCTCGGCACGGGAGCGGAAGACAGCATAAAGTTGCGTACAGAAACGGCGCTTCAGTTTCTATCTGTTTTATATTTTGGTGTGGTTCACTAATTACGAGCGAGCGAGCGCAGCGAGCGAAGCGAATCTTTTCAATATAACGGAAAAATCTCAGTATGAGCGGCGCCGGCCCGGCCCGGCCCGGCCCGGCCTGTAACGCTTTTGAGAGGCTTATATCTCAGCAACCGCTGGACCGATTGGTCTGCGGTCTTTTTTGCTGGGTAGCCCCATCCCTTCTACCCCGTAATTGACTACTTTTGATACATCTCAGTGACCGTTGTGGCACGTGCCACGTGAAAAGTCAAGGGTGTTCAAGCTGTTTTGCAAAAGAAGTGATTTTGAGAGGCTCATATCTCAGCAGCCGCTTGGGCGATTGACTTGCGGTAATTTTTGTAGGGTAGCAGCATCCCTTTTTCCTAAAAATAGGATGCTCTCGATGCATGTGGGTCACCCCCAGTGCACGTGCAAAATACAACAATAAGAGGTGTCAAATTTGTTCCCATTTTAATAACTCGGTAATTACTGGGGCGATTTCGCTGAAACTTGGCATACAGGTAGGCACCCACCAGGCAATGCATTCCCATGTGTTGCGGTTAAGGTGCTACTGCACGTGCGCACGTGCAGGGGCGCTTCCAGATCTCGAGAACGGCTGGGCCGATCGCGCTCAAATTTGGTACACGGTTGGGGACCAGTTAGTAGGGTGCCGTGCAAAAGTCATTTTGGATTCCGTTTGCGCGTGCGCACGTGCAGAATGCCGCTTCCAGATCTCAGGAACGGCTGGGCCGATTGTGTTCAAATTTGGTACACCGCTAGCGCCCGGTTAGAAGGGTGCTTTGCGCAAGGCCGTTGGAAGTACCCTCTCGCCCTTCCGCACGTGCAGCCTGCAGGGCTCACTATCTCGCTCGCTCGTTCTTCGCCCAAAAGGCGTTTTACTGGTTTTATAAAACTGAAGCGTCTCATAAATTAATCATAAGGTGCATTTTGTGCCATACGGCATGCAACGTACACTGTAGAGGTGCTTCCAAAGAGAGATGTCTTTAGCGTGTTTCTTTCTGTAGATAGCTGCACGACATCTCTTACACATTTTTTTTAACCCTCGCGGTCCCGGGGGGGCGTTTTTCGCCCCCCCCCCCGGGGGAATATTTGCGATAGCTCCCGAACGCCTAGGGATAGGAAGGCGAAACTTTCAGTACCTTTTCTCCCATCAATTTGACATCTTCTGTAGTAAAAAGTTTGGACCTAGCCCCATTGATGACGTCACAGGGTCGATTTTTTTTACCCCTGCACGGCAAACTTCGGCCTCACAGACGCGAACTTCAAATAGCTGATAAAAATAGAGTTTCAGAGATAAAGACAAATCACGAGCCCGGTTATGCAGCGTTTGACCTAGAGAAAAATAGAAAAATAGTTTTGGTGA